GAGAAGAGAAGAGAAGAGAAGAGAAGAGAAGAGAAGAGAAGAGAAGAGAAGAGAAGAGAAGAGAAGAGAAGAGAAGAGAAGAGAAGAGAAGAGAAGAGCTGGAAGGGACCTTGGAGGTCTTCTAGTCCAACCCCCTCCCTAGACAGGAAACCCTACACCACTTCAGACAAATGGTTATCCAACATCTTTTTAAAAACTTCCAGAGTTGGAGCAATCACGACTTCTGGAGGCAAGTTGTTCCACTGATTAATTGTTCTAACTGTCAGGAAATTTCTCCTTAGTTCTAAGTTGCTTCTCTCCTTGATGAGTTTCCACCCATTGCTTCTTGATCTGCCCTCAGGTGCTTTGGAGAATAGCTTGACTCCCTCTTCTTTGGGGCAGCCCCTAGCTGCCGGTATTCCAGATTAAATTTGATCCGGTATCCCAGACTAAATTCTTTTTCAGGGAAGGGAGCCTTAAAACTTCCTTCCCTGCGCTCACGTTCACTGTCTCCTCACCTCCTGTCTTTCAAACATTTTCTCTATCCATCATCCTAATTTAGTTCTCTCTCTCTCTCTCCCTCTCTCTCCACAGAAATATCGCTTTGATTTTTGATTAGACAAAAGCAAGGAAGAAAGCTAACATCTGTGCCTCAAACATCTGGATCTCCCTCTCCAGATCCTCATCTTACCCCATCCATGCTTTTTACAGTATCTTTTCATTTTTTCCCGCATGTCCCGTTGTGCCCAAGAAGTCACCCAAAAACATCTCCATAATGATCCCTTTGCAAATCCCCTCTTCCTTTATGGGTGAAATGGGATCTCCTCTGTCACCCTCCCTACCCTCTGAAGGACCCGCTCCTTGCAGGTTTCCCATCTTACTTGCAAAAGTTAGATGCTCAGGCTGGAACAGAGTTGCATTCATTCAACCCGTTGCTGCCTCTCGGAGTGTTTCACTCCTTCTTTCTCTCTCTCTCGGCGGAGTCTCTGCCCTGGAGAGAGGAGGAGACAACCTTCTGGCCATCGGATTTCCTGGCTCAGAGCAGCCCTGGCGTGAGAGCAAACATATGTGCCTCACAAATGTGTGTGTGTGCGTGTGTGTGTCCATCTGTGTGCAACACACACAGACAAACCCACACCCAAAACTCATTCACTCCCTCCTTGGTTTGGAATCAGCCAGCGTCTGACACAATTGCCATGAGATCATAAATGGGAATGGCTGATAACCATCTTGGCATGTGAGGAAGAAGGATGCTTGGGAAGGCCTCTTCTTCCAACACTTCCAGCCTTTTTCTCTTCTCCTCTACCCGTCCCCCTTCACCTGTGTATCCAGGCCTTATATATCTACCAAAACTTTGGATCAGAATAACAGGGTTGGAAAGGGACCTTGTAGGTCATCTAGTCCAACCCCCTGTCTAAGAAGGAGACCCTGCAACATGTCTGACAAATGGCAATCCCATCTCTTCTTCAAAGACTCCGGTGATGAAGCTCCTACAACTTCCGAAGGCAACTTCTGTTCCATTGGTTAATTGTTCTCACTGTCAGAAAATGTCTCCTTATTTCCAGGCTGAATCTCTCCTTGTTCGGTTTCCATCCATTATTCCTTGTCTGGCCTATAGGCGCTTTAGAAAATAGCTTGATCCCTTCCTCCCTGTGGTAGCCCCTCAAATATTGGAAGACCGCTATCATGTCTCCCCTCTTTACTAGACTAGCCAAGCCCAGTTCCTGCAACCGTTCTTCGTATGTTTTAGCCTCCAGTCCCCTAATCATCCTGGTTGCTCTTCTCCCTTCCTCTCTGTGGCAGCCCCTCAAATATTGGAAGACCGCTATCATGTCTCCCCTGGTCCTTCTCTTCACTAGACCAGCCAGGCCCAGTTCCCGTAACCGTTCCTCGTATGTTTTAGTCTCCAGTCCCCGAATCATCCTAGTTGCTCTTCCCTGCACTCTTTTTCTAGAACCTCAACATCTTTTCTATAGTGTATAGAAGCAAGTGTTCTCTTCTGGGTCCAACCCCAAGCAGGAGCCCCTTGCAACATTTCAGACAAATGGTTATCCAATTCTTAAAAATGGCTATCTTCTTCTTAAAAACCTCCAGCGTTGGAGCACCCGCAACTTCTGAAGACAAAGCTGTTCCACTGATTGTTTTCACTGTCAGGAAATTTCTCCTTAGTTCTAGTTTGGAAGACTGCTAGAACATGTCACCCCTAGTCCTTCTAAGGGTTAATTACAGGTAGTCCTTGATTTAGAAAAGGTCACTTAGCAACTATTGGAAGTTACAAAGGAACCCAGAAGAGGACTTACAACACAGATCTGAAGTTCCTACAAACATCCTTCCCACAATCGCATGACTACCCACTGGGCACTCATAGCAACACAACCGTACTTGTCACCTTTTCTAGAACCCTGTGGTCACATGACTGAATTTTATGTCAGTTTTGTTGAAAACCGGCCCGCTTCTTGTTTTCGGCAAACCTACCTAGTGAATGATGAGTTTACTTAATGATTGTGGCATTCACTTAATAACCACTTAATAACCACTCCAAAAAAAGATCATAAAATCGGGTCAGTCACATGGCTGACCTGTTTTATGACCAATATGATTTACGACTGATTTAGATCTGTAATAGGTGGGCTTCATTATTGTCATAAATCAAGAACTACCTGCATTCAGTACATCTTCTCAACTTAAATCTTCAGTGACTATACACCCTTTATTAATAACAAAGAGTTCTTTATTTCACAAAACTGCCCTTTAGATACATTTAATTTAATTATTTATTTTCTTGACTTTTTGCTCTTGAATTTTCCTATGTATACCAAAGTTATAAATCTAAACAATAAAAACAATAATGCTTATAAACTTCTTTCAGATTTGTTGGAATTCATTGTTTCAATGTATTTTTATGCAACAACTACAGTCATAGTTAGCCAGTAGATGGCAGTGTTTACAAGTTTGGATTTAAGGTATATACTCTACACTCTTTTGTCTCTTGATTTCTCTTACAGTTAAAAACAGTTGAGCAGTGAAGCACATGGTGACTGTGCTCTTTGCTAGCTCTGTGATACTATATATAAACAGGATTTCTAACAAGATTTGCCCCTTTTTCGGGTTTCTTCATTTTTTTCAAGAAAATAGGGTCAACTATATACATATCCGTAAAAAAGGGGAAAATATTTAATTCCTCTTTTACCCCATTGGTCCTTTTGATCACAAGGATCAGGGTTTCCAACCATTTTAGGGCCAGAAGTATGAAAACTGTAATACTAATAAAGAAGAATATTTGTAACTCGGATTGACAGGAGGGCTCCTTGGTGCTCTCTGGGTTGTTTTCCTGCAGACGTTTCATGACACAAACTGGGAAACATCACCAGTGTTAGCATGTCCTAGATGCCACTAACACTGATGATGTTACCTAGTTTGGGTAATGAAATATCTGCAAAAAAACCAACAACAACAACAACTCAGAGAGCACCAAGGTCCCTCAGGAAAACTACTGTGTAATATAATAATTCTTCAATAAAGCTTAACTGAGTTTAAAGGAAAGGAAAGGCCCAGTGAGAAAAAAACCAAAATGCTGATTAGACTGAATTTGCAGTGCTCCTCAGCTTGCTGGGGTCTGCTATCTTCTGCTATCCCATAAGTTGCCTACCCTCAAACTCTAGAGGTAAGTTGCCTTTGACTCCCTCTCTTGATCTACAGGAGGACTGGTATGAACTTGATTAGAACAAAGGATTTTCTTCCCACAACAAAGAACTTGGTTAATGGGATTTACTGCCACAGAAGGTGATGAAAGCCCTTGTGCCTGGGAAGGTTTTAAAAAGGGATTAGGTAGTTCAGTTTCCATTCAAATCAACAGAAGAAGATCATGAAATGAGTTCTCTAAAAAGAACAGGTGGCTCAGGAGTGGAAGTGAACGGAAGACGTATTGTAAAGAGGAACACACACGTTGGTCTGGCATCCACCACCAGATAATATCTGGGATTGCATTAAAAAAAATAAAACAAATCCCGACTCAATTCTAAAGTCCCCAAGAAGGAAGTTGAAAAAATAAAACCCTCTTCGTCGGAGAAGAAAATGTGCAGGTACCTGTAGTTGAAACATCTTTTGGCATTGCACAAACATGTTATCTTGTCCTTCAAAATCTCCTGAGCCATCACTGCAGCTGCCCCCCCCCCAAAAAAAAGCCAATGGAATTTTAGGCTACATTAACAGAGAGACAGAATCAAGATCACGTGAAGTGTTAATACCACTTTATAATACCTTGGTGAGGGACGCGGTGGTTCAGGGGCTAAGACGCTGAGCTTGTCGATCAGAAAGGTTGGCAGTTCAGCGGTTCGAACCCCTAGTGCCGCATTATGGAGTGAGCTCCCATTACTGGTTCCAGTTTCTGCCAACCTAGCAGTTCAAAAGCATGTAAAAATGCAAGTAGAAAAATAGGGGCCACTTTGGTGGGAAGGTAACAGCTTTCCATGTGCCTTCGGCTTTTAGTCATGCCGGCCACATGACCACGGAGACGTCCTTGGACAGCGCTGCCTCTTTGGCTTTGTAACAGAGATGAACACCGCCCCCTAGAGCTGGAAACAACTAGCACATATGTGCGAAGGGAACCTTTACCTTTTTATAATACCTTGGTAAGACCAAACTTGGAATACTCCAGCCAGTTTTGGTCGCCATGATGTAAAAAAGATGTTGAGGCTCTAGAAAGAGTACAGAGAAGAGCAACAAAATGATTGGAGGGTTGGAGGGTTGGAGACTAAAACATATAAAATATGGATGCTGTAAAGAAGGAACTAGGAGTGACATGACAGCAATATTCCAGTATTCGAAGGGCTGCTATAAAGAAGAAGGGGTCAACTTAGGCAAAATTTGAGAATTAGAGGACTGAGGATTAAATCAGAAGAGTATAAACTACAAGCTTTCGCGGATGATATGGTTTTCTTTTTGGAGGAGCCTATAGAAAAAGGACATAACTTGTTAGAAGAATTAGAACGATTTGGAGAAGTTGCAGGACTCAAAATTAATAGGAAAAAAAATGAAACTAATGACTAAAAACTTAACAGGAGACCAGAATAAAGAGTTAGAGGCATCAGTGGGAATACAGGTGACAAAAAAAATTAAATACCTAGGAATTTGTCTAACTCCACAAAGCAAATCACTAAAAGAAAACAATTATGACAAACTACTCCAACAATCTAAGAAAGATTTAGATTCCTGGAGTAAATTACAGCTTTCTTTACTGGGCAGGATTGCCTTGATTAAGATGAATATACTTCCAAAATTTCTATATTTATTCCAGACAATTCCAATCAAATGAAATAAAAAATTTTTTTATAGAACTAAATAAGATAACGCTAACATTTATTTGGCAGGGGAAAAAAAGCTAAGATCAATGTAAAAGCCTTACAAGATTTGAAAAGCAGAGGAGGGTTAGCCCTGCCAAACTGGGAAATATATCACACAGCAGCCATTTTACTATGGATAAAGGAATGGGTGAATCTAACCAACAAAAGAACACTAATATTAGAAGGCCACGATATGCAGAAAGGATGGCACGCCTTCCTGTGGGAAACCGGGAAACCCAGGCAATCATATTTCCATAGGCACCTTATCAGGGACTCGCTACTAACCAATTGGAAAAAAGTACGTAAAAAAATCTATCTAAAAATACCGATTTGGCTTTCTCCAATGGAAGCAATAGTACACCCTAATAATTTGGATATAACTAAAATGATTAAATACGAGAATTTATTAGACCCACAAGGAAAGCTGAAAACATGACAAGAATTACAAGAGTGAGGATTTACAATTGATCAGTGGGTGTACCTTCAAATCCATAGTAGATATAAACAAGATATTAAGGAATTCGGAATCTACAATAAATTACAGACTTTAGACAAACTTCTATTAGGACCGAATAAAAAATATATATCTAAATTCTACAAACACTTATTGGAAA